TGGAATCTAGTTGCAGAGGGGAGGCATGATGAGCAAAAGGGTCAAGACCAAGAGTGATGAGCAAAAGGGTCAGGACCAGGCTAGAGAAACCCACAGAAACAGCTGACCTGAACAAGGGGGAGCTCATGGGCCCCAGACTGATAGCTGGGAAACCAGCCTAGGACCTATCCAGACCCCTTGAATGTGGGTGTCAGTTAGGAGGCCTGGGCAATTGATGGGGCCCCTAGTAGTGGATCAGTATTTATCCTTAGTATACAAATGGACTTTGGCAGCCCACTCCACATAGAGGGATACTCTCTCAGCCTAGACACACAGGGGAGGTCCTAGGCCCTGTTGCAAATGATATGACAGACTTTGAAGACCTCCCCATGGAAGGCCTCACCCTATGTGGGGAGCAAAAAGGGGATGGGATAGGGGGTTGGTGGGGAGCACGGGAGGAGAGGAAGGAGAAGGAATAGGATTGACCTGTAAAACACGCTTGTTTCTAATTTAAATGAAAAAAAGAAAAAATATACAAATCCAAACACAGTAACATAGCTTCATGCATACAGTCCTAAAGTTACACATGAACATTCACACAAATGCAGATCACGTAGCAATATAGACACTTGCATACATACACATCCTACTCATGCACAAAGATATGAAGTCATGAAGACACACACAGATACACAGGATCACAGACCAAAACATATGGACATTCACAAATGCACAGCCACACATACATGCAAATGTAGTCACAGATATATATACACATATCCACAATGGAGCACACATATGCACAAATACACACACTTCATACATCTACACAGACAGTTTCTCTCTCTCTGTCTCCCTGTCTCTGTCTCTCTGTGTCTCCACCCCTCACACACACCAGACACAATTATTCTCATTTAGACATAGGCAGATGCATCATTGATATAGCCACAAGACACATAGCCACCACACATATCCTACACATTCAGACACATAAGTACACATACCTAGATGCACATATATAACATCATACACATACACTCACAGACACACAGATGAACATGCATGCACACATAAAACCACACACATATACTGAGAGACACAGACATGCAGTTATAAGCAGGTCCACACACAAATACAGGCTACCAAGGCATGCACACACACAGAGGAAAAGATATGCTTAGACACACACACACACACACACACACAGACCACATGCTCAGACACACATAAACATGCATGCAGTCACAAACACAGTTCTGCTATTTGCTTCAAAGCCCTTGTCAACCCTCTAACAGGAAGCAGTGTCTTTTCTGGTCTTTGCTCATACTGCTAGGGCTATCCGATAAGAGTGGTTAAGGTACAAATTCAGCCCCCACTGCTCAGCTGCCCATGCATAACAGTCATCTAAAACCTAGGCCATGCTGGGAACTTGTGTGCAAACAGAAAGGTGCCCGGTGTGTTCTGCAAGAACATAGAGGCCCCAGACAGTGTCCCTCTCATTTAAGTCAGCAGACCCAACTTTTCATGGAAATGTCGGTTACATGCAGATCACCCGAGGACAATGGAAGATAGTGTAGCTAGACACATAAACTAGACCTTTCTCAGTAAATCCCACCTGCTACAGAGGCTTCCGTGTATTGTGAGCAGGTAGGAAGCTGAGTCAATAAATCAGTGAGCTGTGCTGTCTGACATGCCTAAAGAGAAAACCAGACCCAAGCCTCTAGTTGCCTGGAGGAGACATGAGGAGTGGCCTTGGCTCCAAGCTGAGAACACAATACTATCTTAGCTGTATGATACCACCAAAATTATTGACTAGGATGTGTTCCCCATGGGAAAGAGACAACAAAACCAGATGAAAACAAAGTGACTGGCAGAAGCCATGCTTTCCTGTCTTTCCAGGTGACTAGTGAATGGGTAGCTATAGAGGAGGAGGGAGGCTTGTCTGTCCTGGTGACATGGTCAAAACTGCTGTCAGGGCATGGAAGCCATCCTTCCTGGAATTGTATGTCATTGGCAAGTTTCCCCAATTATTGAAGCCTTTTGTGCATGAGGAGACATACACACAGACACACTAACTCTTACCTCTTACATCACAAAAGTTTTTGGAGAATTACCTGTCCACCAGTACCACATCTCGGCAAAAGTTGGCTGTTACTATGATCCCTAGTATGCTACTAATCCCTTTTTTGCTTTTATTTCTTTTATTATAAGATCTTTCAAATGATTTGACTCTTTCTATGTCAGAAATAGAAATCAAGACTGAACTAATTCTCCTTTACATTTTTTAAATTTATTTTTGATTATGTATAAATTCGTATGTCCATGTGTGGGTTTGTACGTTAGTGCAGATGCCCAGCAAGGCAGTTCCCTGGGGTTACAGGTAATTTTGAGTGTACTTGGAACCAAAACCTGTCCTCTGCAAGAACAGCATGTGCTCTTACTACTGTGTCACCTCTCTGGCCCCATAGTTCTCTTTTTCTAATAATACCTGTTTTCATCTGACACTACCTACTGAAAATGGTCCTGTGTGATGGCACTGATTCCACTCTGTGCTCTTCCCAAAGGAGAAGAGAATACTTGCAACAACCTATTGGAGGAATTTTTTCTCCCTCATATTGAAATCAGAAAATAATAATAGTATGTTGCCAAGAAAAAAAGTTAATACAACTTAATGTTTGTGCATAAAGAAGACAGGACCACACTGCACTCTAGTGAAAACAACAGCGACAGAGGACAGAGTTCTGAGTGCATGTGCTGAATTAAACCCGTAGTCTAAGCTCAGCATCTGAGATGCACTTTCTTCACGGGGATTAATGGAGGAGTGGGTGGACTGATTGATTTTTAAGACATGATTCCATAAAGGGACTCTTGCTGGCCTCAAACTCATGATCTTCCTGAGTGGTAGGATTTCAAGCTTGGGTAGCCATGCCCAGCTCTGTCTTTGAATAAAGTGCAACTTAAAAGTTCTCCATGAGAGTTCTTGGAAGGAACAGAAAACTTATTCCAAGTGCACACAGACAGCAGTTTGCTAGCTCAGTGCACAGCGGGTTGAGGGACTGAAGAATGGAGCCAAGGGCTTCTCTACAACCCCTTCTTTCACAATCACATTCTGGCCAACTGACTGCTCCCTGTGAAGCCCTGCCTCTGTGGGTCTTAAATTCTTTTGGTGTTATGGTTGTCTTTGAAAATCTGATGATGATTATGAATAATCCTCCCAGGACAGTGCTCAAGGGCATCTCTCTCTCTCTCTCTCTCTCTCTCTCTCTATCTCTATCTCTCATACTTCTAGAATAACTTTCCTTCTTTCCCCTCACCTTTTCTTTATTTCCAGGGAATGATACCCAGGGTCTTGCACATGCTGACCAAGTGATCAAATACTGCACCCCTAGATAAGGGTCCCATGAATTAATTTGTAATGACCTTCAGCAACTTAATAATTGGTAGCTGAATATAGAATTTTACCTCCTTATTTTCCTTTTATACATTTTGTATTTTAAATTCTGGCTTTTAAGTCTCCTGAAGATTTCAGATGGGCCATGTATTTTGATATATTGTAGTCAACATTAAAAAAAATCTTGGTAGGTTTGCTGAAACAATTTCTGGGGGACTGTTTTTGCATTTCTCTTAAGAAAGCACAGTGGGCATTTGTGTATGCCTCCTTAGATGTGCTTTATTATAAATAATGCAGAAATAAACAAAGAGATGGCAATGTTATAATAATCCACAGAAACTTCATCACAGGTCACTCTAACTTCAAATCATACTGTTCAGGAGGAAATAAGTGAGTACACACACATCTCTGCTGTAGTGACAGAGGAGAAATTTCACAAACATGAAGACATATGATGGATATATAAAAGCAATGTTGGCAAATTACTCTGTGGATAACCATATCCCTGCCAAGATGTTTAAAACTTGGGCAAGGAAATACTCTAGACACTTGGTGCAATCATTCACTTTGGGAAAGTTTGGCAGTTAGCATAAGGCTGCTCTGAGAGCCCCTTTAGCTTTAGACTCAGCCCCATATAAAAGTTTAGAATGATCCAAACTTACCATCCTATTTTTTTTTCCCTTTGAGACCAATCATCACAGACCAAGAGAAGCTAAGTTGATAATAATTTATTGGGGCTGTGCATCACTTACAATGTATAATAAATTATAAAGACCACAGCATCCTTCTAAAATCTCCTATTCTCACTTCCTAATGCTTGCTGCAGTATCTTTAGGACATTTAATTGGATTCGATTTTTAACATTTGTTAGAGAGTTAAAAAATTACAAAATTGTTCACAGTACTTCAGATTTTTGAAGAGCCCCATTATTTCAACTTTGTGCAAACCTGTTTGAAATGTATACAAATCCTCTAGAAACATGCAGACAGTGGTGTGGGTTTTCTAGGACTGGGCAAAGCACCCAGCTCCCTGACTTTAACACCAGGCGATGCACTTTCTTAGGCATTGTAATAAATGCAAGCAGTCAATTACTGATCTCGAAAAATCTTGACCAATAAACAGCATTGAGGTTTAGCCACATTTATAACATTCAAAATTTTAAAAACTCAGTAAAAACTATGTTTGACATTCCTCCTCCTTCCTCCCTCTCCCTACTAACTTTGAAACTATTTTTTTTTTTCAGAAAAGGAAACAAAATAACAAACCAAACAACAGCAACGACAAAAACCAAGTAGGTTTTCGTTTAGTCTTAGAGTCTGGGCGCCCTCAGTCTCGGTCTGCCATGTTCTGTGTTGTGCCTCCATCCTCATCTACCGTGTCAGCGTCAGTCCTTTCTGCCAGGAGAGTTCTCAAAGTCGGCTGAAGGCACTTTGCTCTCAGTGTGACAGCTCAGGGCTGCAATGAGTTGGAGTCTTTGTAGCTGGTGTGCTCTGTCCCTTTCCATCCTCGGGTCCTTGGAAGAAGCGCTCAAGCCTATGCGCTGGACGCTGCCCTTGCCGGGCTGGCAGGCTCACTGGGTCTGTCTTTAAAGGTCCATTGGTGAAAAAGCTCCTGGCCCATCCTGCTATGCTCAGTGCACCTTGATGGAGTATTTCCGCAGTCTGAGAAACTGAAGAAGCTTGTCTTTTGTCCTCTTCTTCAGGGCCATCAGAGCTCGTGTTTTCTCCTCCAAGTCTTGATCGATGGCAAGAATGATCTTGGCCCGCTCCTCTGCCTTCTTGTCTCCGGAGTTCCTGAAGAGCCTCTGCAGGGACTGCTGATCTATGTTTTCAAAGATGTTGCCCACAGCTTTCTTGCGAGAGGCCGTGTCAAAGTGGTAGCCGTGGATGGACGGGCTTACTCGAAGAGACGAGGACATGCTGGTGGCTTGGTGGCTTGGCTTTGCTTTCATCGATGTGGGTCTTCCCCAGCTCAGCTTGGGCACTTCCAGGAGTCTGTGGTTAAAACCTTCCCTAGGCTGCTATTTAAAGTGTGAACAAAGCTCCTGACTCAAATTACACTGGTGACGTCACATTGATCCCAGGGAGGAAAACCCACAGCAAAGTTAACAGTTGAGTTGCCAAATATCTGGCTCGGGATCCTGGAACGCCCTTCAAAGCCTTGTTCAATGAGAGCAAGTTACGGGCTTCCCTCTTGACATCCCAGACTACAGAAGCTGAAACCGGAAGAGACAGAAGAGCACCAAGGCTCCAAATCTCTACCAACAATTGAAACAAGGAGTCCTGCCAAGCTCAAGAGAGCTTCAGTTAGTACAGATTTTAAAAATGTGGGCCAAACCCTGGCAGCCTGGGGCTTTGTGACTTTTGGGCGACCCTATAAGGGGGGTGCTGCATGCTAAGATGAGGGTGTGGAAGACAGGGAAAATACTTTGGAGGGCATCTGATTCTAGAGCCAAGATTTTCTGACAGAATACTGACACGGCTCAGCCAGAAACCATGAATCCCAAACTGTGGACAAGTGCAGTCTGCTGTCTCCCCCAGGAAACTGCAATTTAAACAGTAAATAGCAGCCCATAGTAGCTGTGTGGGTATTTGTGTGGGGATTGACAGCCGTAGCTAGCCAAAAGCAGGGAGCAAAGATTAATGGGGCACTTTGAGTACATAATGCCCACAAGGAATGCACTGACCTTTTGTTTTGAGGTTTAGTTTGGAATCACTCAGCATAATTAGAGCAATGCTATCTTCATTAAAAGTTTCAATTTATTACTTTTGCTATGGACAAGACTCAGACATGTACAGCTATCGCATGCTAAGTGTTACCTCCACCTGGCCTGGAGGACAAAATCTATACTGTACTTTCTGGTCCTCCAAGAAATCAGAATGGGCCTTTATTCTAGTTCTAATACATAGTCAATAAAGTCACACACCTGTAATCCCATCTCTCCTAGAAGGCTGGGGCAGGGTGTCAAGCCTCAGGACAGACTGAGCTACACAGGAATACCCTGTCTCAAAATTAAATCAATAACATTGAAATAAAATCACTATTTTACCTTAATAAAGTTTACATCTTATTAGGAGAAAGGAATGGGGAATTCTTGTGTATAAATAACCTTCATGTGGTCTGAAAGTAATATCCACTGTAGATAAAAATGCCCCATAGTTGCATGAGCCTAGAAGGGAAAGGAAGACCAGGGTTTGTGGAAGCTAAAGGAAGTGGTGTGTCTTAGTTAGGGTCACTATTTCTGTGATAAAACACCATGACCAAAGCAACTCACGGAGGAAAGGGTTTACTCAGTTTACACTGTTCATCATCAAAGGAAATCTGATTAGCAATTCAAATGGGGCAGGAACTTGGAGTCAGGAGCTGATGAAGAGGCTATGGAAGGGTGCTGCTTACTGACTTGCTTCCCATGGCTTGCTCAGCCTACTTTCTTATAGCAACCAGCACCACCAGCCCAGGAATGGCACCACAGTGGGCTGGGCCCTCCTTCATCAATCACTAATTAAGGCAATACTACGAAGCTGGATCTTATGGAGGCATTGACTCAGTTACCTTCCTCCCCTTCAGGTGACTCTTAGCTTAGGTCAAGTTGAATAAGACTAGCCAGCACAGGTATCTTCTCATGTGATCTGTGCAGCAGTCCTGAAGGATGTAGGGGAGTGAGGTAGATTGCCATTGGTGGCAGGAGTGCTATAGGGTGGGGAAGCAGTGAGGACATAGACCAGGCACAGCACAGGTGTATGGATAGCTGCAGGCACTGTGATTAGAACAGTGAAGCGGTGGGGATGCAGGAAAGGGCAGGTCAGGAGGAGAAAGTGGTGGAAGACAGTAGACCAGACTATGATCTCAAACATTCCCACCCTGACTGACCTCATTCCGCATGAGGTGAGTGGCCTCTGGACATACTGAAGCAGAGGAGTGTGGGTTTTTGTTTTTTTGTTTTTTATGATTTAAAGAACTGTCACTTCTCAGCCAGGAGGGAGAAGCAAGAAGATCAGCTTGGAGATATTCAAGTCACCTAGACAAGACATGTTAGAGCACATCTGACTCTGGGCCTGCCATGAAGGAAAAGTCAAGGAAGAGGATTGAAGGGTCAGAGGTGAGGCAGGAGGACGGTGTGAGCCGTGGATGACTGCCTCTGCAGAAGCTCCTGGGGAGAGCATTTCTTCTTAGATCACAAGCCATCATTGTTATGGAAACAATGATTTATTGAGATTTTAAGTGCCAGCCATGGCAACATGAAATGTCTACAACTCAATTATTACCACTCTTCAAAGCTGTGGGAGCTGATTCTTACCCAGGCTCTGACTTTCCATTATGCCTTATTTATTGATGTCTCCCAAATAATAACCAGCCTAGACCCATAACACGAAGTATAATTCACCTTCTATGGCCATGTAGAAATATGGTGCATGAATCTATTGTTTAAAAAAAAATGAAACCCTGTCTAACTCCCAGCACCCACAGATTAGTACACATCCCAGCTCTCATTTGAGAAGCTTGATTTTGCAGTGAATGTCAATGAATACAGAATGACCCTGGTCAGAGTGCAGAGGATAAGTAACTACCAAGTGCTCCTCCCTATAGGAGACGTTTATGTCACACCTCCTCCAACGGGTCTTAGGAAACTTTGCAGAAGAGGGAGCAGAAAGACTGAAAGAGCCAGAGGTTAGACAGAGTGTCTGTGAAACAGTATCCTAGGAACATCCTAGAAACATATCCTAGGAACAGTATCTAGGAACAGTATCCTAGAAACAGTATCCTAGGAACTCGGGAACTCACAGTGACTATTGATTGGTGCCTGCACAAGACCCAGACAAGAACAAGCAAGCCGAAATTCCAGCATACATGATGTCCAAAACAGAAATCCTTAGTTCAGCTGTCACCCTCATCACTGACCACTGCAGTGGTAGTCACCAGGAGATGTAGGTAGCTAGGAGGGAGGAGCAGGTTAATTGGGAGACCTTCAATATGAGATGCTAAATTCTACTAGCAATGAGGGGTCAAGTGTTCTTCAGAGCATCAGTGGTATTGGCTGAGATCTCCCTGTGTTAACCCTGTTTCCCACTCCTTTGCAGGCATGGATCCCGAGGGCTCTCTGTTATAAAGCCTAGCCTGTGATCACTTTCTATAGATTTGATTCCTTATCAGCTGAGCTTATGACACTCCATCCTCTCTTACCGGGGCTGAGACCAAGCCTTTTACCTGCATTCTTGATCCTACCAATGCTCTATATTCTTACCCAGTACCCAGAGAAGCGGTCTTCAAGAGGCCATCTGATGCAACTTCTTTTAGTATTACTCTTGGACTCACCCCCTAGCTTTTCTGCACTTTTAAAAATTCCTTAATAATTTTGTACTGAATATAATACATTTTGGTCATTTTCATCCTTCAGTCCCTTCTTTCATCCATTTTAGACTCTTGCTGAATCCTTTATTCTTCCCACTAAGTCCCTTTCTTACTTCCACATCTGGTATTTGATTTTGTTTGTTTTGCTAGTTTCTTGTGAGTCACTGAGTTTATTTAGGGTTGCATGCATGAGTATGAGTAGGGGGTTTTGTTTGTTTATGAAAGCACAGGCAATTTATCAGTTGCTATACCACTAAAGAAAATTACTCTTCCTCCCCCAGCAACCATTAACTGACAATTGCTCCTCAGGGAAGGGTGGGGGCTTTACGATCCCCTCCTATGCCCATGCTGAAAAGTTAACTCGGGTAATTTCATCCAGGTGACCACAGTTCTGGTGAGTTCATGAATACACTCTCCATGCCATGTCCAGAGGACGGCACTTCAGGGCTCTCATCTCCACCTCTGGCTTCTGTGCTTTTTCTTCCTCTTCATCAGTGATGCTCCCTGTACCTCGAAGAGATTGAAACACATGCCCCACTTAGGGATGAGCATGAAATGCTCACTTACTCTCAGTGCTTTGTCCAGTTATGAGTCTCTGAATTAACAATCACCCTCTGCAAACAGATGCCTCCCTGATCAGACCTTATTCTCTGACACTAGCAGCACTAACCTACGAGCATAAAAATAAATATTTAGAAGGTAGTTTGACACCATATCAACTTATGAAAACAGTAATAGGTTCCTACTTGGAACCTATGACATCTACAGCCATTGGCTTTTAACCAGGTTTACATAACAGGCATGAATCCCTCTTAGGGATATTGCCTCAAATCCAATAAGAAGGTGGTCCTTGCCCCATAGCATTCATGCATCGTAACCAGATTTTTCTGAATGTGAGCTGCTGCGATATCTGATGGCTTCGGCAGCCTCACAATATCCAATGAGACTCTGCAGACAAGAGTTGAGAGTCTTGAGGTGTTGCTATTCATCCTGTCATAGGAGCCTGTCCACTGAATGACAGGAGTCATTTATAAGAGAGAGGCAGAAGGTCAGAAGTGAAAGAAGCTGAGCTGAGGCTCTCAGGATGGTAGGAGGAGCCACAAGCCAAGGAATAGGGGGTTTCCAGTCCTTTAATTCCCTCCCAGGGCTCCCAGAAGAACGGAATCCCTGAAGAATGAACTAGTTGAGACTGCAGGCTTCCTAACAACATGTGTGGTAACAACTTTGTGTTCTTTTTTTTTTTTAACTTTGTGTTCTTTTAAGCCACAGAAATTTGTGATGATTTGTTATTGCAGCAGACAGAGTTGAAAACACTATTCAAGCCCTTTGGCTATGAAAACTTGATCCAGAATTCCCTGATTCTGAAGCCTATGAACTTAAACCCTATGTCAGACTATTCTCAAATCCATTATAAGCTCTGTCTTCATGAATTCTGGCTCTTTAAAAA